GCCACGGGGACCCCGTCCCTACAGCTATCGCGGCTCAATAATCAGCTTCCTGTAGCTGCATTGTGAATAGCTTTCTTTACACCGGCGTGCTCCTCCATCCACCATGGCGCAATACTTCTTCGATCTTCTCTACAACTTCACAGATTGCATGTGCTGTTTTCCCAGCACGCCGCAATTAAAGATCAACAATCGTAGCTTTAAATTGCTCCGACTCCTCGGTGAGGTATGATTGCCTCTGGCTAATGGTTTACTGCACAACACCCGGAATGCGCGATGCTGACAATCAACGCATCATTCTAGGGTGGTTTCTCTTATGTCTACCTCGTCCAAGACAAATCGACCTCGGAACTGTTTGCGCTAAAGAAGATCCGGTGTCCCTTCGGTCAGGAGTCCGTTTCCCAGGCGCTGAAGGAAGTGGAGGCCTACAATCTGTTCACTACCCAGAACAACATTATTCATTCCATCGACCACTGTGTGTCCACCGAATCCGGTTCGAAATTCCGCGCCGATGGCGGCGACGCAGGATCGAAGACGGTCTACATCCTCCTGCCATACTACCAACGGGGTAACCTACAAGATGCCATCAATGCGAACCTTGTCAACCATTCCCGCTTCCCGGAGAAGCGCTTGATGGTACTGATGCTCGGCGTTGCCAATGCGCTCCGAGCAATGCATCTCTACCGTGTGAAAAGCGGTACGGGCCCGACACGCAAGGCTAAAGCTGTGAGGAGAGAGGGTGCAGAGGCAGACGCGGACACTGCTATGCGGATGCCGAAACCGAAGCGACGCACCAGCCAAAATGTGGATGAAGAAGAAGAGAATGAGCCATTGATGGATGACGAGGTCACAATAAGTCAGGAGGGCGTGCAAGACGGCGATCTTCGCCCGTATGCCCACCGGGATATCAAGCCCGGTACGGTTGCTGCTCCTATTGTAGCTACTATGCGCTAATGTTTGCTTGCAGGTAACATCATGATCGCCGATGATGGCCGTACACCCATTCTCATGGATCTCGGATCGTTAGCACCCAGCCCCATTGCCATCACCTCCCGGTCGCTCGCCTTGGCCGTCCAAGACACTGCTGCGGAACACAGCACGATGCCGTATCGGGCACCCGAACTGTTCGACGTCAAGACGGGTTCGATTATTGACACAAAGGTGGATATCTGGTCGTTAGGATGCACGCTCTACGCCTGTCTGGTGGGTAAGAGTCCCTTCGAAGCCCGCAGCGAAGAGACAGGTGGCAGCTTGAGCATGTGTGTATTGGGCGGTGATTGGCGATTCCCCGACGAGAAATCGAGTGCGACCAAGGGCAAGGGCAAGGCCGGTGGCGATGATAGCCGCAAAGATAACACGATGCAGATCAGCGCGCCCGTAAAGGACGTGGTCCGCAAGTGCCTGCAGGTGGAGCCTGCAGACCGGCCTGACATTGATGAGCTGATTCAGATCCTGAAAGATGTTATCAAGGATCTTCCGGAGGAGGATGACATTGCCAGTGGTTCAAGCTAGTGGGCTGCAGTGTCTACCCGTTATGAGTCCTGTCGTGAGTCAGCTGGTGGGACTGTTCCTGTCGGCTGAACTACGTGCGGAATTGTCTGGCCCTGGCCAGATTGTATTATACCAGCCAGATCTGCACATATCACCTCATTTTCTATTCCTACATGTTCCTGTCTGTGGTTATTTGGGGTTGTCATCTAAGGTTCTCTGCCGTGGTTTCCAGATTCGTGAACTTGATACCAGAATAATATTAGCTGCAGGCGGCAGTTTGATTCCATTCCTCCTTGTTATTGGGCCCCAACCCGGCGTAGAGATGATCAGCTTGGAAAATCCCTGGTATCTTTGATAAGATCTGGGGGTATCCCATGGGTTGACGATGATCTGGGCTTGTTCTGGCCCATTCGTAGAGTGATTCCGGCACACCAGATATCCCGAAATCCGGTCCAAAGGTAGGAGCACCCCCCGTTAGCCTGGTGATCCCCATTGAGAAAGTACGAATCAGATCATTATTCAACAAAGCTGATAAGATAGCTAACTGAGTCCACCCGACGGAGCACAAAGACTAGTACTATGGCTCTGTCCAGTGTGATCCGTGCTGGAGGGGGGCCATGTTTAAAGCGGAGAAAGTCCGTGAGCATCGCATCTGTCCCCATCGAAGAGAACGATCGGAGCGATGCACCAGTAACATCTGCTATCAACGGTCTTTTCCTGGACTTTCAATAAAGCAGCCTAGGCTATTTCCGATCAGCCTGCGAGATACGATTTGCCGACAGCCCCGCGCCTCGCTTTAGCAACTAAACCGGTTAGCGATGGATGACATCTGGATGGAGTTAAATGGGCCCTGCGCGGGGAAGTTCCATGCCGGACGGGTGGTTATCCAACTTATCCAGCTGCCATCAATGGATTGATCTGCTGGAGGAGATAGCAGAGGTGGATCCCAGGCTTCTTTAGTTATCAGCTGGACAGAGCGTCATTCAGAGCCAACAATTGAGCGGTTGTCTGTCTGTCTCCTTGCTGCACAACGGAATGTCTTCCGCCTGCTTATCTGCTGGATGATGATAACAGAACCAGCTAGGCTGGTGGAACTTTGATGGATATCTATATGGACTTACTCTTTATCTACTAGCATTGCTAGGGATTGGGTCTTGCAGCGGGGATGGCATATTTGCTATTTGCCGACGCTTTGACTTGATTTGTTCTGGTCGTTTTCGGAGTATTTCTGATAAACAGCCTTCGACCACCTCGCCTGCTGCTGTCATTGACGTTACATTCCTTTCATTCCTCCTCATCTCCCCACTCTCTATCCTCCTCTCTTCTCTTTATGAACGAGTTGCGCAGTTAATCCAGGATCTACAAAATGACCCCAGGCCTTGATCAGACTGCTATTCCGGGCACCGTGACGCTGGTGGATTTGGAGCATGTCCTTGCCACCCGTCATGCGGATCGCGGCGATAGTGACATCGTTCTCATTCCGGAACCGTCCAATGATCCCGATGATCCCTTGAACTGGGCCCCATGGAGGAAGACTTTGTCTACCATCTGTGTGAGCGTGTATGTCTGCAGGATGAGTCTATTAAGTTGATCTAGTGGATGCGGGGACTAACATGGGACCTGCAGGTACACTCTGTTTGCTGGTATTGCATGTTCGGTCGTCTACTCGGTGCTCACGCAGCTCTCCGATGCAACCGGTGTGTCGGTTGATACTCTCAATGAGGGAACGGGGTATATGTTTCTGTTCGCCGGATGGGGGCTTTTGTTTTGGCAGCCACTGGCGCTGCAGTATGGCAAGCGTTTGACATATATACTTTCTTTGGTTGGCATTTTGGTATGTACCCTGGAATCTCACCACTACCAGAACTAATGTATTTTACAGGGCACTTCGATGTGGGGGTGCGTTCTCACATCCGGCGATTGGTGTATGTTGATACTGACTATGACAGTCCTTACATCCACACCAACGGCCAATGGATCGCGCGCAGTATCCTATCGGGTTTCTTTACGGCACCCATTGAAGCCCTCCCAGAAATAACCGTAACTGATGTGGTGAGTCTATCGGGTTCCATACTATCAGACGAAGCTGACAGTTCAGTACTTCACCCATGAGCGGGGAACATACATGGCGCTATATGCATTCTTCCTGGCAGGCAGCAATTACTTTGCTCCAGTCATCTGCGGCTTCATCGCCCAGTACCAAGGCTGGCAATGGGTGTTCTACTGGCCCAGCATTTTCTGCGCCTTCAGCATTGTATTCCTGTTCTTCTTCATGGAGGAGACGAACTACGTGCGCGAGAAGCCTTCAGTCGCTGAGGTGACTTCAACGGAAGCTTCTTCGCGCACGTCTGAGCAGGGTGAGAAAGAGAAACGTCCTGCTGATGTGGCACAGCAGAGTGACACAGAATGCGGGGTGATATACCCGAAGAAGACGTATCTTCAGAAACTCTCGCTTATAGGGCCCAGACTGCCGAGGAACAATATGTTCCGCCGGTTCTACCACACATTGTACTATCTGAGCTGGCCGGTGGTATTCTACGCGGGGTATGATTGCCGCAACAGTGGTTGTATATAGCTAACCATTGCAGGTTCTCCTATGGCTCATACCTTATCTGGTTCAATGTGCTGAACGGAACGGCTTCTATCATCTTGGGCGGCGCACCTTATAACTTCAGGTCGGTTGCTTCATTCTAAATCATGAATTATGCTAACCTGCATAGCTCTGCCATGGTCGGACTCAGCTATCTATCCTGCATTGTGGGTACAATACTAGCGTGAGTTTTCAGAAATGTTCTCAAGTAGATAATAAACCAACTAATAGCAACAGCTCCCTCTTCACCGGCCGCTTCAGTGACTGGCTCACCGTCCGACTGGCGCGACGCAACAACGGAGTGATGGAAGCCGAACAGCGTCTGTGGCCATTCGCCATATGTCTTCTCCTCGTGCCAGGCTCTCTCTTGCTCTGGGGTGTAGGCGCCGCGCACGAAGTGCACTGGTTCGGACTCATCGTCGCGATGTGTCTGCTAGCGTTGGCGAACACATGCGGCATCACGCTGAGCGTCAACTACCTGGTCGACAGCTACCGGGAGCTGAGCGGGGACGCAATGGCAAGCGTGATCTTGGTTCGGAACACCATGTCGTTTGCCATGGGCTATGGGTAAGCCCCCCTTTTCTTCCACGTTCGTGTCTTCCCAAGCTAACTGCAATAGAATCACACCGTGGGTGAACCACCTCGGATACCAAAACTGCTTTATATCCGCTGCGTTCGTAGGCATGGCATGCGCAGCAGTATTCCTGGTGATGATCAAATGGGGGAAGTCGTTCCGAATGCACAGTCGCGAAAAGTATTGGCGAATCGTGGAGGAGAATTGGGCGAGAGGGATGGGGCATTAGCTCAACAATGATGTTCACCATAACGCCATCTATATACAGACACTCATAACGAATATATAATCCAACCAAACCAAGTCCCAACTACAAACCCAATCAAGATAATAAATGATAATAAATGATCACCCCCTCCCCATCTTCCACCTCATCGCATACTCCCCCTCATACCTCGCCCTCACCATCGCCTCAAACCACTGCCTCTCCATCCTCGCCAACATCTCCTCTGCCGTTTCCTCTTCCACTTCCTCTTCCTCATCCACCACAACTTCTTCCTCCCTAATCTCCCCCTCCTCAACCTCCACCTCCACCTCCCTCCTCCCCTTTCTCCCCCTCCCTTTCCTCCCTAATTTCCTCCCCCCACCCCCAGAACGAGAACGATGATAATCCCCCTCACACCCTCTCAACCCAATAAACCTCCCAAACCTCCTCCTCTTGACCTCCAACCCCACCTCCGCATCCCCCACATACCCCCCCTTACCACCATCAGAACCATCCCATCTAAGCCACGGCACAATCCTGACCGGATACCAGAACGAGCCACGCACCGGCGGATGCACCTGATGGAAATGCACGGCGAGTCTGTCGAGTTGATCCGACGTGAGGAGGTTGTATTGTAGTAAGGAGAGAGGGAAGTCGGGGTGTTCGTGGCCGGTTGTGCTGGAGACGAGTGGGTGGAGGGGTGTGCGGAGGTGGTGGAGGATGGGGGGTAGGTGGGGGTGGATTTTGGATTTTCTTCGATTTTGATGATTTTTGGGGGGTTGGGGGGTCCCTTTTGGGGGTTGGGGTTGGGGATGAGGTGAGTGTGTAGGAGGTTTGGGGGTGGAAATGGTAGTGGGTACTGGTGGTTTGGGGAGGATGTGTCGATATCGGGGGGTTGATCTTGGGGGTAGGGATGGTGGTGAGGATGGTTGTGGTTGTGGTGGTGGAGGGGATGATGGCGCAGGTGGGATAGTAGGTGATACCGGGGTTGTAGTTGGTGACGCGTGGTAGTAGTCCTCTGGAGATGGAGGGTCGACTGATAGGTATTGCCGTCGTCGCATTCTGCGTCGTTTAGGTGCTGGTGCTGCTTGGGATACTGCCGAGGTAGATACCGGAGATGGATCAGGAGATGGTGATATAGTTTCTGAGATGCGACGCTTGCTCATTGTCAACAGACTCTCCGAGTTGGTAGTATATTGCCTGTCCTTCCTAGAGATAGTTACTGGTACTTCGAGGAACAAGATGTAATTATATACCTTGACTGCTTTGTTATTTGCATCTACAATGTACTCTGAAAGTAACTATAAAAACTTGAAACGGGGGTAGCCGGTCCCTTGTCTCTGCACAATAGCCTCACCCGGTCTTTGTGGGCGCATTGTTGCATAAAGAGATGGTATCTCCCGCCTTGTCTTGCTCCATTGTCTGTATCCGCGTGGTAGCTACGTATGATGTAGTTCGAAACAAGAGCTACACCTGTTATAGCATTATAAAGGCATTGGACAATGCCGACAAAGCATCGCTAGATGAGCATATGACCTCGTATTTGACTTCGCTGAATATACTACTAAACACTAATCTATACAGAACCAGTGTTCAGCTAGAGGCCCCATCCAACGTCACTTGCTGGAGTCGTCGCTCCATCGATGTCTGCTTCGTCGTGCTAAACTCTGCAAATTCCCGTGACGCCGGCGGCAGTCCCACATACTTGTTGATCCAGTTGAGCACGGTGTGGTGCCACATGAGCGAGTTCTCCGGGTTGAGCACCCAGTGGTTCTCGTCCGGGAAAGTCAAAAACGCACTTTCGACTCCCCGCATTTGCAACACGTTGAAGGCAGCAAGGCCCTCTGCGATCGTCAAACGGTAGTCCAGCTCGTTGTGGATCACCAGATGCGGCGTCTGCCAGTTTGCGGTGTGCCGAGACGGGTCCCAACGCTCCCAATTCTCAGGGACCTTCCACAAGGGCCCCTTGAGATCCCGCACAGGGAAGTAGAGCTCCTCGGTGGAAAGCATCGACGTCATGCTGAAAATTCCATCGTGGGTCACCAGAGCCTTGAATCGTCGGCCCAGTGGGTGTCCCTGGATCCAGTTGACCATGTAGCCACCAAATGACGCACCGAGCGCCACAGCACGGGATGTGTCGACGTACTCCAGGTTATTTTCAATATAATCGAATCCCTTCTCGAGATCTATATATGGCAGGCTGCCGTAGTTGCCACGGATCTCATCCGTAAACTTTTGTCCGTAACTGGTGCTGCCTCGGGGATTGGGCGTAACGACCACGTAGCCCTGCTCAGCAAACACCGCCGGATTCCACCGCGTGCTCCACTGGTCACACCAGGCACCCTGAGGCCCGCCGTGGATCAAGTAGGCTAACGGGTACTTCTTGCCCGGCTTGAAGTTGGAGGGCTTCACAACCCAGGCGTGGACGGGAGTGTCGTTCGCTCCTCGGTACCAGATCTCATCCACCTGCGAGGGCGCGAGTCCGAAGACAGCACCGTTGCGACCGATGGAGGAGATAACGCGCACGTCGCTGGGAGACTCGGGATCGACAATGGACCAGACGCTATTATCCACCAAGCTAGTGCTAGAAATGAGCAGCTTTGTCGACTTCTTAGATGCGGGATAGACGTCCGTGACGTAGCCCGCATTAGTGATCTTCTTTAGCTTGTCCGGAGTCGCATGGCGAATATCAGCCATAGGAAGCTGGTACAACACGCCACGGCCATACTCCTCGACCTGGATGAACAAAGACTGGTCGTCATTCGAGAATGTCAGGCCCGACGGGCTGGAATCCCACAACCCCTCTCCGTCTGCGGAGGCAAACACCTCGATCATTTCGCCGTTCCAGGGGTTCGGCACATATAAGATACGTCTCTTATCCGACTCGTAACCGTCTTCGCGCATGGCGAGAAGAACAATCGAGCTGCCATCCGAAGTGAGGATTGGTGAAGACATGGCCCCCTCGAGTCCCTTCACCGCGCAGACCTTGGCCTCCAATGCGTTCACACCGGTCCATGAAAACATAGGGCAGTAGTAGCAGGAGCAGGAGGTGTGCGTGGCAGGGTTAAGGTCCGGATCTTTCGCCACGAAGACAATTGCTAAGGGGCTGATGTCAAAATCGCCGGTGCCCCCGAATGGCGGGATAGGGGCCTCGACACCCGCAAGACCGCTCACCGAAATCAAGTTCGTCAGTCCTGACACGGAGTACTTGCCCGCTTGTCTGGTAGCTGGCGACAGAGGGGCGCGCTGCAGCAAGCCATACCAGATGGCATTCTTCTGCGGTTCGATGTACGAGTCCCAATGCCTCACGTAGAGCGACGTAAAGAGCTTCCCGGTGCTGATTGGCTTCTTTGCGTCATGCGGGTTATGAAGCGTCCCATCAGGGTTCGCCTTACCAGTCACAGCAAAGCCGATCTTGCCCGGCTCGACGACCGTGACCTTGAGATCGGAAACTGGGCCAGGGACCGTTCCCGCCGTGTACGTCTTGTCTGCCTCACGTGCATCTCCCACAATAAAGCTGGTGTTGCCGTTGGCCTTGGCCTTGAGCCAAACCAGCTGGTTGCTGTCACCCAGCCACTGCGGGCAGCTGGCGCCAGCGTCGTTGGTGATCAGAGCCGACCGGCCAGTGGCGATATCCAGAACGCGGATCTCGTTCGTTTTGGAGTGAGATTCGAACGAGTAGGTTGTCTGAGTGTAGACGGCAAGGGTGCCTGAGGCATTCGGAACTGGTCCGGAGCGCCTAGGGGCTCCGAGCAGAACCCTGACAGGTCAGCTTTATTGCGTTGAATATGAGAACTGATAGATCGGGATTGGACGATGAAGTGAGCTCTGTTGCTGGTATTGGTGATGGCTTACTCTGGAGTGAACTTCATGGATCGGATGGTCATGTCACCTGCACCGAAGAAGGGTCAGTAGCTGATCGACAAGCAGTGATAGGATAGGAGGTGGATTACTGTTCCTGAACAACAAAAATTGATACGAATAGCCAGTGAGGAATGGACAAGCGCAGTTCCTCCTCGTGGCTGATGGATGTCAGACGAGTAGGTGTAAGAAAGATGGGGGAGAGCTGCAGGCAGATGAATGAGGAATGGGGACCGTGAGGGGAAGCAGCAGAAGGAATGAGGTGGTCGGTGAGGGGAGTTCCCTTATCGGCTGACCCATCATCTGCCACCTTCTGCCATCATCTTTCCCCGGCTCTCCCAACGGAACTCCGGCTAGTCCCTGCTTCCACAGAGTTACTGCAACCTAGATGGCAAAGTTCGGCAGATCCCAATTCTAGCATATATAACCGCGATTTACATTGATTCGAAATTGATATGGGATCCCGAGAAATGCGGGGAATCAAGTGCCTAATTGCTACTGTGGTTCATCGCGGTGGGGACCTCAGGCACTCCATAATGATCACTGGCTCGCCCGCTCGGTTGTGAGAATCGTGCCAAACAGTGGCCATATCCAATGCTATCCCAGAGAAAGTCTTATACCCTAAGGGGGAAAATTATTAAAGACCAAGACCGGTTTGGTCTACCGATACCGTCCGTCACGTTCGGCCTCTGCTGCAACCGGTTTACCGAAAAAAAAAAAGTATGAGACCACAACAGCACTAGCACTGTCAGCCAGAGACCCGCAGATCGTGAAATAAGGGTCCAAGTCTGGCCGAGCCCTGCAGACGGCGGCTTCTACTCAATGCCACGGAAGGGATGCGAGCCGCACACTCTAGTTTAGCATTTAAGATGCGAATGATAATTTATGACTTCATAGCGCAAATGCAAAACACCGGTTCACTTGGTTCTCCTGTCCGGTGGAGCTACCATACAAAAGTTTGATGCTCAGCCAAGAACCGATCGGCTACTGTGGGCAGACCGAAGAGAGATGCCGAGTGGTCTGGCCGAGAACTTGATTCAACCACGTGTATAAAGCAAGCAAGATTTCCACTCGATAGCCACACTAGAATGGTTTCCGCTGCACGTCTACTTACTTTAATACTCTTCAATATAAGTGCTGTTTCAGAATGCCCTTGAAGATTGTCGTGGTTGGTGCTGGCCTGGCCGGTCTGGGCGCAGCCATTGCGTTGAACCGCCAAGGTCATGATATTGAGGTGTGTCGATAGAACTACACTATCGCTCAATTCTGAGTAGGGCTGACTTCATTAGATCCTCGAGCAGTCCGGCTTCCTGAATGAGGTAGGAGCTGCGATCCACATGGCGCCCAATGCCACGCGCATCCTCAAAGATTGGGGATGCAACTTAGAGGACCTGCAGCCGGTCCACTGCAACAAAATGCGGTTGTGGGATCACCAAGGAAACCTTATCCATATCCCAGTTGTAGGTGCTATTCTTAAAGGGTGAGATGTTCGATCATCGCTAAAGATCATGCAGGTGACCAAGGACGCCCAGGAAGCACTGGGTATCTACGATGAGTGGTTGCTCACACACCGAGTGGATTTGCACAATACTCTTAGAGGCTTAGCTGCCAAGGAGGTCAATGGCAAGAAGACTACTATTCACTTGCGTTCTCGTGTAGCTTCAGTGGTCAGTATATATTCTGCTCCATCCAGTGTTTCCAAGTTACTCATCTAGATGACTGATAGGATCCCGAGGCTGGAGTGGTAACCCTCGAGGACGGTACCAAGTACACTGGTGACCTAATCATTGGAGCGGATGGCATGCATGTACGAACCATCCCCTTTGTGGAACCTATGTCTAGTATACTAAATGTTCTACTAGTCTCGGTGTGTTAGCAGTGTCACCGGTGGACCTACAAAGAAGGAAAGCACAGGGCAGAACTGCTTTCGCTTCCTTATCCCTGTTTCCAAGATGAAAAGCAACCCTCTCGCTGCCTCTCTTCTGGAAAAGATGGGATCGGGCGCTGTGGACGTTTTCACCGCAGAGGATCGCCGAATAGTCGTCTATCCCTGTCGTCAAGGCGATCTGCTCAATGTCGCCGCCATCCATCCTTCAGGAGCCGACTCTAGCGCTAGAGAGTCTTCCTGGCTAGACAGCGGCAATCTGGATTCGTTGCTTGAAACATGCAGTGTGTTCAGCCCTGAGCTTCAAGAAATGTGCAAGTTGGCAGAAGACCTGAAGCTCTGGAGCTTGGCGTCTCGTTCTCCGCCGCGCACCTTCATCCGTGGCAAGCTAGCACTCATCGGAGATGCGGCCCACCCAAC